AGCTTACAGGAATTTTATAAAATATACTCACATCGGCTGTACAAAGTTTATAGTAACTAAATATTCAGGGTGTTCTAATATTTCTGGAGTTGCTATTATTCTTAGAAATGGTTTAAAGGTTTTAGGTTCTAATTTTGACTACCACTTTTGGTATGTGACTTTTAGCAAAATAACCTCCCTGAGCCCCAGTTTACCCAGCTACAAAATGAAACTTGAATTAATTAAAGCAAATACGTTTAAAAAAACTTAGAAGCTGGGCTCGGTGGCTCAGCCTGTAATCCTGTGCCTTTGGGAGGCTGAGGTGAGTGGATTGCCTAAGCCCGCAGGTTCGAGACCCGCCTGGGCAGCGAGACTTCATCTCTACAATAAATCAAAAAATCAGCCGGGCGTGGTAGCGCATGCCTGTAATTCCGGCTACTTGGAAGGCTGAGGCGGAAGGATGGCAGGAGCCCAGCAGGTCAAGGCTGTGGTGGCCGGGAGCGGTCACTGCACTCCAGTCTGGGCGACAGAGTGAGACTCCAACTCAAAAAAAAAAATAAAATAAAATAAACTTAGATCAATGCTTGATGCAAAGTACATACCATAAATCAGAAGAACTAGTCATTAAAAAAAATCCTTCACTTCCAATACACTTTTTAACAATTCCATTACCATATTCAGAGCTAGAGGGTGTAGTCAGTCTGCTACAGATCAGCACTGTCATATGCTGGCTGGTACAGACAAGAAGTTCCTAATAGCTTTCAATAAATCTCTCATAAAGTTTGACTGCAGTTACTGATCTTTGGTTCCATGATCCTACCCATATACCATTCCACTATTTACAAACAAAAAGCAATGCTGTTGAGCCATCAATAGTGCTGAAATAAGACCAATCCAGGAGAATGAACATTAAAGTGGCATATTAACTCACAAGCTTAAAACCAGCAGCTCAGAATGATGTATTACTACCTATCTTCTCCAAAGCATGAGAAGCCCATAGGGTTTATGATTTTCTATTTGCCAAACCTTTGGTGGGGTGGTAGGAGGTGCAGGGGGAAAGGGGAAGACTACCTAAGCCTTCATTACCTAAACAGTCATTTCTTTCAAAGATATTTTTTTATAGTGCCTATACTCTGTGCCAAACTCCTCAAAACACCAAAGAAATATTCCATAAAATAGACATGGCCAGCTCTCACTGAATTTACCAATCTAGTGAAGGATTCAGATCAGCAAACAGCATTTCCATCATATTTTTAAAAGTAAAATAAGTAGTCAAAGTTATGATTTTCCAGCCTTCTTAAGTTTTACTTGTATTGACAACTCTGCAGAAAAACTTAAAGCCAAATGATTTCTCCCTTGTAAGCTCCCCAAGTACACCTCAATAAGCCTTATTACTTACAATCAATACTTTTATTTGGTCTGTTTTGTCATGGTTTTTACCAAAATAATAGCCAAGTAAAAAATAGTAACACCTTCTGTTTGACTTTACTTTCATTATAAACATGTATAAGAGTGCAACAGTGTAACTATAGCATAAACCAAGGTAATTAAGTTAACCATTTATTATGTATAGTGGATTTAAATTAATTACAGAAGATACTTGGGACCGGGCTCAGTGACTCAGCCTGTAATCCTGCGCTTTGGGAGGCTGAGGTGAACTGCCTGAGCCCGCGGGTTCGAAACCCACCTGGGCAACTTGGCCAGACCTCATCTCTACAATAAATCAAAAAAATTAGCTGGACGTGGTAGCACGCGCCTGTAGTTCCAGCTACTTGGAAGGTTGAGGCGGAAGGATCACCAGA